AAAAACACACATATACAAACAGAACAGGACACAGAATAGAAACACAATGTTTACATATTCACATCATGGACAATAGTTACCAAAATTTGAGGTGATGTTTTTTTTATTAGCATTCTGCTTTGGGTAATTTGGTATAGTGTCTTGTTATTTTTCGTAGCCTTCCCTCAGTGTAGGAGTTCTAATGTTTCATTGTTTCCTTATTTTGCCAGTCCCTCATCTTCAGTTTTGTGGTTTCTTGTCTTGTTAGTTAGATTCTCTTCACCTGTGCCTCATTTTCCACAGCCGTGTCCTCTCCTCAGATACTTTGTGTGTTTTTAAGCCTTAAAGATTTAAAGATACAAATTCTTAATTTAAAAGGAGTGCCTTTGGTTGTTATCGCATCAAAAAAAAGTGTCAAGATGAATACTAAACTTAATTTTCTTAATGATTCATTTGGCAATCTGTCAAAACCGAAACCTTTCATATTTAAAAGTTAGAAAGCACAGCGATGATGCCATTAAATGAACTGATTAATATTTATTTATTTATTCATACAGAGATGCGATAATGTTAAATATCTTAACACATTCAGTTTTATTTTGATAAATGCACTCGGTAGGAGCTAAATGCAGATCCACTAAAGCAAACAGGGAAGACAAAGCACCCACTCATCCATCAGACTGGTTAATCTAGTCCTGTACCTTCAGTAAATTATTCATCAAACTTGTGTTTTTGTCCTGAGAGAAAAGAATCACTGGAGTGAACGGGCACTCCCGTTGTATACCGCTTTCTTCACAAAGTTGTTTACTTTTGAGGAGAAGCAGATTGTGGTAAAAGTGCTGCGAGTGTGAGCAGTTTGAGCTCTGGGGCTATTGTACAAATTAGTAAGGGTATTTATATAACGGATATAAAACACTATGTTTTTTCTCAGTGTCCTGAGATCCGACCTTATGCAGCTATGCTTTTGACAATAATCTCAAACCCTAAAAATGTAGCTTAAGCTGCATGCTGAAATGTCTTTCACAGCAATACCGAGTCTGAAACTAAGTGGGCCTCCACTTTAAAAGGGCAACAGACTAATTTATCTCCTTAGCTCTTAGCAGAATGATTAACAGCATCACCAAAGCAAAAAAATTTCTAGCCGTCCGGCCTGTAATAGGTGCAGTGCGAGGAGAAAGGGTGGGTTATAAATGGAAGACTGTAATTTATCTTGTTGCACCTCTTACAAAGTCTTTAATCACAGTGTTCACCTATGGTACTTTAAGATGGCTAAAGACATTCATCCTCAGGAGGAGATCCTGTCAGTTAGGGGACAACTGTAGAAATTTGTCTTAATAATGTGGTTGTGTACACTTTGTATACTGTGTCTGTTTTATATTGTGCAAACTTACATAAGAGAGCTCAGTTTCCGGGGATTTTAGCTGTGTCGTTTCTCCCAAAACTAATTTTAAATAAAAGCCAAGAGCAGAACATTTATAGTTGTGTAAAATGCTAGTGGCAGCTGCTCTTTAAACATAGTGTGTAGAGACGAGCAGGAAATACAAATTATTACATTATTTGTGAAAAAAAACCCCAGGTGATTTTAGAAATTCCTTGCTGCAAGTGGATCTGTATTAGAAAACATGTATTTCTTGCTGAAATAAGACATAAATTAACAAAAATAGTAAAAATAATAAATGAACTGGAGACTGGAAACATGAATGACGAGTCTTAATGATCAGCATGTTGTGTTAAAAAGTAACCTCAATCAAACGGAAAACATATGGTTCATCCTCAGTTAAAACACTTGCAACTAAGCATAAGGTTTCCAAAAAATTCATCTGCTAAAGGCCTTAAGCGTAAATGTCTGCTAACAGCTTTCATCTTTTTCCATCTTTTCCACCGATCCACAAAGCTAGGGTTTCTATTGTCTGTTGTGTAGCCAAAACTGTAAGGCTCTTTCTTCAGACAGAGCCACAGAAACACTTTGTTTTAGTCTGTTTAGACTGTGCAGACAGGGTCCATTGTGACTTAGCACAGCAACCGTCATCCTAATAATTAGCCTTAAAACTAAATCTGATATGGTAAATTCTGTTTAAGCAAGTACAAGTTTCAAAAACTTTAACCTTGACCCCACATGCATTAAACTTTGTTTTTAATTATGAAAAAGTACTCATTATTTTAACAACTCCAAAGTTAGAGCGTGACATTCAATGGAAAGTAAATAATATCAGGCCTGTAATATTTTACTGACTATAATTTAACTGTATTTCTTGGCAGAGATTATACTTGTATGCTCTATGGGGTGTTATAAGATTGTGTAACAGAAGAAATAACCACCAATTTATAATTGGTTAATGCCTTTAACTTAGAAGCTCACAGAATCTCACCTGCTTCAGAGCTGGTAATGCTTGTGAGAAGTCTCAGATAAATTAAGGATGAACAAGCTAATCTGTTAGATTAAATGGTCAGGGTAAAGGTAGCTATCCAAACTTTTCTCCAGGTTCCAATTATTAGTGGAATACACACACGCACAAGCTACTGTAGCATGGTACATATTCACCTATAAACAGATTGCCAACGTATTATGCCTAGTAGTCTGGACAAACTGGTGTAAACAAGAAAATGAATAGATGATGGGAGGATATCTTTGAAAAGTGAGTGTCTTTTTAATTATTTTCATGTCCAAACCTAACTTACTTCTCTAATTGCTGTGGCTTTGTCTGTGGAAAAAGGAAGGGAAAAGAAACGACATACACCAATAAGTTTAATAAGAGTGGAGAATCATCTCTGGATTGTGAATTACATTGTATTTTTAGTCATGATCACAGCCCAATTTTTCCTTTGTTTTGATGATCATTGCCGTGTGTGTGTGTGTGTGTGTGTGTGTGTGTGTGTGTGTGTGTGTGTGTGTGTGTGTGTGTGTGGAGCCAAAGTGGGAAGCTACAGAGATGTTGGACAATTTGACACAGATGTTTCGGTGAATTTATAAACACTAGGTTGTAGTAAAGAAATAACATCCACTACATTTGCAGTCCAGTTGTTTTTTTGTCTAGACTTGTGTTTGTGTTTGCAAAGGGGGTACTTATCTACTCCAAGTGCACAGAAGCTCACTTTTCCTAAAGTTTGAAAAAGTTAAGTCTCCTAACTTTGCTAATGACTACATATGAACAGTTGAGAACCGAAACATTTTAGAGATCAAATTGTGCGGTAGCCTACGTTTCAGTGGCATAATTTAGCTTTATACATAGCTCATAAAATGATACATTTCATAAACTTTTGTGAACTCTACAGACATGTCTAAAGATTAAAAACCTACAAACTTTAAACTGTAGCTGTATACTTTCTGATAAAGAACTTTGCATGTCTTTATGCTGTTCAGTTCTAGTATCTAAAAAGGAAATATGAGCAGAGCGTCACTCCCAACGTTTCAGATACAGTCACAGTTTACTGCACTGGGCTTGGAATCAATTTTTAGCATGCAGGGCAGGAGAAGTTGCTTTCAAGTATATTTTTGGGTGAAAAATTTTGAATAGGTGTATATTAGATCTTTTTATAGTTTTGTAATTGAAATTAATTTTGGCATTATAGTAGGTTAATATGCTAAAACAACAGTCTACAGAATATTGCCAAAGGATATGTGTCATAAAGCGCAGACTGAACAGAATCAGAAACGGAGCAGCCCTGGGTTCCTCGGCGGCAGATATTCAGATACCTTCCAGTTCTCTCCCTTACTTCCTACTACTACTTCCTTATGTGGCTCAAACACTGATAAGTCTCCTTATGAGGCCTCGCGATGCTATGCGTCAATAGCCCATGAGGAAAGCCTGAGGGTGCAGGTGCTCTGTCTGCCACTGTGTTCAGAGCTGTATGTGGATTACTCTTGTGTAATATCATCACACGCACACACAAGCACACCGTTCGCCTGAGACGGATTCTATTCGCTCGAATTTGAAACGCTCCGTGTGAGATAAATGCAACATTTCTAAAATAGCAATCGCTGTGACCAAGATTCTTGTGCTTGACACAATGAGATACCTTCCTTTCGTGTTTTATTTACACCTTTTAACAAAATACACTGATTAACTAAAGAATATGGAGTAAACATACTCATAAAATATTCAACATAAATCTAACTAGTTCTAATGATTAAATGTGGCCAGAAAACAAAATGAAATGGCAAGTAAAACTTAAACTGGTTAGTAATATTCCTCCTGCTGTTGAGTCGCAAATTGAAGAGATGATTCAGCCGCCACTCTGGTTAAAAGGGAGTAGGCTTCTGCGTTCAGATGTTGGAGACACTTACAGCTTTGATATGAATTTGATTTGAATGTCAGCCTGATACATACATTACTATGCACCAACCTTCATCAGTAATGCAGTGTGTAGTAGCCCGAGAAAGAGCTCAGAGTTATAAAAAAAGATGCTGCTATTTAAGCAGTCCTGTGAATTGTTTGATGAAGTTCTTTTCACAACAACAGTTGTGAAGTGGTAGTAAATAAATCTAGTAGCGCTTTATAAATAGATTGATTTTTGATGAGTTTAGAAATGTTGTCAGTGTGGTATCAGTTGAGAGGGAGACATGCCCTCATCTCCTAGGAGTGTAAGTCTAACTAAGACATTTGATCCTTCAAAGGAAAATTTCCAAAGGCTTTTAGAAAATAATCAGACCTTGAGCATGAACATAACTGAAAATGTGTAATTGTAATTGAACTCAGCAAATGCAGCTCAGGTTGTGCTGCATATAACGAGAATGCACGCGTGGTGCCAACTACAACAAGTGCTGTAGCTAACTTATAAGGGTTTATTCTAAAACATTTTTTTTTTGATGTTGGAAAACGTATTGTGATTGTGATTGTGTTGCATTGTGTGCTTTTCTAACTACAGTACTAATGATGCCTAATAATATCAGATGACCGCTTAATGCAGCGTCTCCTTATGTTTTAACAGTTTCTTTATGTCTTTTCCTACACTTCATCATTTCCATGTTTTCCATGTCTTGCCCTGCATCCTAACAATATTTTTCTCTGGGTTTGTTCCAGTTGAGATGTTGCTGAGGCACTTTGTGGTTATGACCTCATCATCATGAGATGGAAAGGCTGGTGACTGCAGGCAGCTACAGAAGAGGTGGTGCTGTGTTGTGGTTTGCAGCTGCTGGTTCTTGGCAAAATAAATTGCACTGTGGAGATGCCTCAGGGAATTATTTGCTCAAAGGTTGAAAGGATGAACAAAAAAAGGAATTCAAGAGGTATTTGTGATTCAGACTGTGTTTGTCTGTAGTTGTGACTTAGATGTATCTCAGATCAAATTTCGTAATCGATGGAGAAACTGTTTTTAAAAAAATATTTATTTATTATTTTTAATCAGAAATATCTTTTTACACCAGCGATTAAGTTCCACAGTTTAAGGACTAACTGGTCTGGTTGACTGACACTGCTGAGTAACACTACAGTGTTTTAAAACCATTAACAGGCTGCCATTCATGGGGCGAGTGGGCTTCATGGCTATTGTCACACATTACAACCACGTAGTAAAATTTTAAAAAGTCGTTATTGCTGAGAACATGTCATTCATCAGAAATGTGCACACATTTTACATGATAGGAACTGTTTTTTCCCCACTTCTCCTGAAATATACTACATCAGGAAAAAATGGTTTTTACCCTAAAATTCGCATGTTTTGAGCAGGGTTTTGAAAAATTTTCCACTAATCCGTCCTGAGTCATAGGTATGACTTCAGCAATGTTAGGGAACTTCTTTAGATGGTGTTAAAGAGCTTAACAGGAGCCTCCTTGTTGGAATGTAATGACTCCGCTTCTGTTTGGAGAAACCCCAGATCTAAAGAGCTCCTCTTTTCTGTGTTTTAAGAGAAAGACATACTCCTCTCTTTTCTACTTTTTAAATGTATCCATACTCTGGCATTCATAGGAATTGGCATTAACACGAGTGGATAGAAACTACGTGAAAAATGAGTCATGCCTAGAAAACCCTGACCTTAGAAAATGTTGATATACACTAATTTATGTGCTTTGGGGTCCTTAGGGACTAGAAAAGCGCTATACAAATGCAGGCCATTTACCATTTACCATTTATTCCCTTAACTATATAAAGATTGGTGCCTGAATTTTTTTTTCTGTATGTGTAAGATTTGTAACATGTAACATTTCCATTCTACAACATGCAGTGGGAAGACTACATGTAGTCTTGTACCTACAATCTTGAATTTCAAGGCCTGATGTGGATGCTTGTCTCACCTACTTTTTCCCTGTACTTGTTTTGCTCTAACATTACCATTAATTAATAAACTAATTATCTAGCCTATGGAATTGATACATTTGGCTGTTAATTATTAAAAAAGAAGCATACACTATTCTTATGGGCCAATCAATAATCTAAAAGAAGCTTTGACAAATCAACACTTTTAATAGTCAATTAATAGTCAATATATGACCCCACACCCCTGCACACACACACACACACACACACACACACACCACACACACACACACACACACACACACACCGCACACACATAGAAAAAAAACATGAAAACGTGACTTGGTTTAGTTTGACCTCTGTTACATTGAGGCAGTGATATTTGAGTGCTGAGCAGGAAGCAGGTTCTCATAGCCCTGTCTTTTTCCCCATGTTGAAAATGGTGGCACAGAATGTAAGATTGTAATGTATGAAGTACCAAGGAAATTTTGCTATGAAATAAAAAAATGTAATAAAATGCAGTTTTTCTTAAGAGTCATGGAGTTTTCAGGTATCATGTTTAGGAAATGCTTCAGTGAAGTGACACTTTTTAAAGCAAGTGGGTGATTGATCGGTGAACTGAGGAGTTTAATGTGGCATGGACATTCAGGTTCAGGTGTAATTTCTCGCACAATATGCCGATCAGTATGGTACATACAAGAGAGTGGACAGGAAAAGAGCTCAGTTTGTTCATATGGGTAATGCAGACGAAAAAAATACATTTGCAGTGTGTGTGTGTGTGTGTGTGTGTGTGTGTGTGTGTGTGTGTGTGTGTGTGTGTGTGTGTGTGTGTTTGTGTATTGTAAAAGGAACCGTGTAAACTTAAAAGAGGGACAAAGACCAAAGAAGGAAGAGTGCATGTGAAAAAGAGAAAGACAAAGTGGTGAGAGAGGGCGTATATCTTTAGCTGCCTATAAAGCTCTGCGTGCTTCTCATTTTAGGCAGAAGTGAATCCTGGCTGTAAGAAATGATGACAATACACTAATAAAGCATCTCAAACTGAGGAACTTGTCTGTTGTGTTTGTTGGTACACTTTAAGGAGCCACAGTTCACATTTCAATAAAAGATGTTCACATTCTGTACATTTGGTTTAGTTCATTCAGTTCACATTCCTTTTTCAGTTTGTTTTAACTGGACTGGCAAGTATAACTGGAAAGGAAAGAATAACTGAGATGTTTACTACAAATTGGGTATCTCTTTCCTGATCTATTAAAATATTTATGATGACAAAGCTTCAAATGGATAGGTGAATATCAGTGTTATTCAGGGAGTGTTGCTTCCTCTTGGCTAGGACATAGAGTGCAATTGTTGATAGCTTCAAATGTAAACTGTGTTCTCACACTTTTAGATGGACACTTTGGCTCCCAAATATAGACCTTTGTTTTTTTTTTACAGCATTGGCACTTAGATCAATTGAACTACAAGTGACATGATTATCTCAATTCTTTTCCTGGACCATGAACTGACTTGTGAAAATAAACAAATAAAGTGTTGTTTTTGTTTTTGTACAGATTATTTTACAGATAGATTGTGACGATCATTTTCGTTATTATTATTATTAGCTATTTTTGTCATCACCACCTCCTGTGCTGACTTTTAAAGTATTTAATAAAAACTATAAAAATGAGGTGGGACGTCGGACATGCCAAAACAATCACACAACAGTTTTACCATTACCAGTGAACTGCAAGTGAGGCTAATATGATTAGTTTGAGCCAAATATGCATCCATAAACTTTCGAAATCTCAGTATAAAGCATTATTTCCTGAAAAATCTTTCAGCTATCTCCTCTGGAGTCCTGGAAAAACTCACACCTGAGTGCCCCTTTATTCTATAGTGTTCATTTGCTCTTCAGTGTTCTTCAAAGCTGTTGAGATCATACAAAACTGCTTAAAAGGTCAGATCACTAAATGGTTTGAAGGTACTTCACCTCAGTAGTTCAAAGGTCATTTAGCTCAGTGATGTGTAGCTAACATCTGCCTGCTACTTATTTCACTTCAAGTTTTTACAAGGTGCTAATTGTGTGCAACCAGTACTATTCTAAATGCATGAGAATGGCATCATGTCATTTCCGTAGCTACAGCTTTAAATCACCAGAGGCAACAGCAGCTGTGACACATACACACTGACGTTTAGGTACATTAAGCAGTCATGATACATGTAATTTTAGATTCAACGCAACTTCTACTTAATATGCATACATAAAATCTATATTGGACAAATGACCACAGATACTTATTTAGAAAATACAAATTAAATTAAGCTCTGTATAACATGAGAACTTTCTTAAGAACAAAAGTAATCCAGTGATAGTTGTCAGTTGGTGGTGATGATGGTTTGTCAGCAGTTTACACTATTGGTGTGGGGGGAAAAGGCAGTGGAGATTTCTTGAATAAGTTTAGTCTGAAACAGATACACCTCTTATGAGTAAAAGTTTCAATTTGAATCTATCATTAATCAAATTCACTGGTTTCACAAATGGGAGGTTCATTTTTTTAAGCTGAGGTTGGATAAGGTCACAGATATGCATAAACAGGCACTGGTTGCTGATTCTACACATGTCAGAGGGTGTCTTCTGTGTTTCTTTGAAACTGTTCTTTTGATTTCAACAAAGTTACTAATTTGTCAATTCCAATAACAGTTTCAGTAATCATCACATTCAACCTCTTAGCTTGCAGACTCTAAGAAAATGCAGTGTTGTAAAGTACTGTGTTCCCAGTAAACTAAGATTGAAAATAAAAAATGTTAATAAATGAGTCCACAAATTGGACAGCTTATTGGTATGCATCCTTGCAGAGCAAAGAGCAGACTGGAAAGTTTGGTGTGTCTGTGGCTTTGGTTTGATCAGTTGATCTAAACAGAGATTAGATGTGACAGACAACAATAGAAACTAAAAAGGACTGGCTGTAATACTGACATTTTGATCAGGTCATGTGCAGTGATGCACACAAGATACACCAACAGATGGATGAATGCCAGTACACAGTGTCAGTTTATCCCATTCATCTGCCTATAAATGCTTTATCTTGACTGGGAGACAATTATCGGGAATAAATGGGAGATGAAACAAGGCTGGTGTATCTAAAGGAAATGTGGCTGCATGGTTACAAATGTTATTGACTGTAAAATCATTTTATTTGGACAAGGGAGTGAAAACTAGTGAAAGCTCTAGCATTGTTTTTAAGGCTCCAAGTAAGTATAGAAACCCAGTCTTTCAGATTTTGAGGCAGATTTTTTTCTCTACTTCAAAATTTCTCTCTCTAGTATTTCATAAGGTTGTTAATTTTGTCCCTACATGTTTTATGCTTGGATGTAACTTTGAGCTGCCAGTGAGCTGACCAGTTTTGACGTTAATGTGTCAAGATGACAAAGATTTCATCACATTACACTGAACCCGACTGCAGTGTTGATCACAAGGACAGTGTTACATAAATAAAGAAAACGAATAATCTGTCAAGTTGTTTTACACACAGTCATGACAACAAACTAAAGAAACACACACAAAATTATAAAACGTGGCTAAAGACTGAAAACCGCATAGTAAAGGGAAGGATTTGTATTTGTGTACTTTTTTGGGGTTCCTTTTACTAAGGTGTGTTTAGTGTGTTTTCTTTTGGCTTAGATTAGATTTGGATAAGATTTCCATGTACTGAATGTTAAAAAACTATATGACAGCTCATCTGTCTGTGTGTACCTCACTCATTGTACTGCCTTAGGCCTCTGTGCGGCACTTACTGAGAATACGCCCAGACATGTCCAAGAACAAAATTACCACAGGCACACGCACACATGCGCACACTGCAGAGATACAAGCACGCGCGTGCGTACACACACACACACACACACACACACACACACACACACACACACACACACACACACACTTAGGTGCAACACATACGCACACAGAGCCATGGACTGTGGTTAAACCAGCTGCTCAGCTGGTTTACAGCCCAGATAAGGCAGTCCAATCCCACTCTCACACCATGGATTCACTTACTAGTAAACTCAACAACAACCGCTGACCTCAAACAGCCAGTTAGAAAAATCCTAAATGTACAAGCTGCCCTCTTTAATGTGCTGTTCTATCCAAAGTACAAATGAAATGGCAATGACACATTTGTAGTCATATCTAATTATACTCCTGGTTTGGGAACTGTTTACTGAAGACAGGAAATATTCACGAGACCCATTTGTACTTGGCTGCTTTATTATTAAATTTTTTTGAGACAATTTTGCAATATTGATGACAAAGAAAAAAATGTTTCCCTGTAAATCCATCTACATATCATCTTTACCGTCAGGAAATTGAAAAGATAAAATAAGAAAGATCAGGGGAATCAGGTGCAGTTCTTTGATCTGATGTTAATTCAACAAAATGCAGCAAACTAACACTCCTTCATAAACTCAGATACTGAATATGGAGTACATCCCCTTATTGTTTCCTCCACCCTTGACAGTGGGGTTTTCCATGGTAGCAAATATTCTTATCTATGAAGAAATAGTCATCCTCAGCAGGATATAGGACAACCTCCAGAATTTATGGGCTTGTTATGAACCGCCTTCACAACACGTAATAAATTAGGTAATCATGTAACTGCATATGTAGGCCAGTATATTAATGAAGCAAACAGCTTAACAGTAATTTGTGATACTAGAGTTATCAGTGTCATCATGAATGTGAAAACAGTCTCAGCCAATAATATAAATGCAGTCACTTTTTCATTAGGTCTTTTCGCCATATATATGAATATAATTATTTGCAGTATAGCCTAAAACTGCATAAATTAATCATCTTATGTAGCACTAATGACCTCTCTGCCCTTCTGCATGTGTTGAGAATGCATCAGGCATGAAAAGCAGCAGCAAGACATCTGTAACAACAGATAGCAGAACATAAGAGAACATTAAACATGCAGTTACTAGCTCATCTGTACTGTCAAAAGAAAAAAAAATCTGTACTCTGGTTAGAGCTGCCAGCTACATGTAACTCTAGATAAATCATGTAAAAGGGAAGTACCATAATAAGAAAAGGAGAAATAACTTTAAAAAGTGGAACGTATATATTAATATATATATATATATACATATACCTATAAGCTAATGGGGTTTTTTTTGACAATAAGAAAGAGAAAGCAAGCAAAGCCCAAGGGTGCTTCCACAGAAATCTTTTTATAGAATATTGTTAAATTTACCCACATTAAATATGAGGAAATGTTGCTTGGGAAAAATAAATATGGTGTGTTTTATTATGTTATATATGCTTATATTTTACTGATAAATGACCTCTTTGGGTTGTGCCAATCATGTTTATAATGTCTCAGAACTAAATGCAGAAGTAGGACATTTGAGTACCAGCAACCCTTTTATGGAGGAAGTCATGGTGGCTAAACATCAAAATGTCAAACATTTTGTATATTTCTAGTAATTAAATTAAATTTCTTAACTATGATCAACATCGGCGCTGCAGAGATGATTCATGCGATGGCTGATTTGATAGATAAATGTGAAAATGTGCAGCTTTTCTTAGTCTCATATTGTAGTAAATACTTTTTGGATTTTTATTGTTTAGAATTGATTGTTTTCAAATAAGAAAATCAATTAACCAAATTACTATACTTCCTCCTAATAACTATGTGAGCTTTTCAAAGTTGAATCTATCTATCGCAGAAGATGAGAAACACTCACTTTCCTGTGCTTCCAAAATACAGTGCCAGTGGTGCCAACAATTTATTTGGCTTGTGAGGGAACGGAGAGAAAAGAAAGTGTACTGCTGTACGTTTAAGTCATCTACAGTTCATATCATACTATAAAACAGCAGGGCAGAATGAGACCATTTCAAATCTTTTGAGTTTTCATACACGGACTTTGAAAACAGACTACAGTTGGTGTCAAGGAATCCAACAGCCACCTCACTAATGGTTAAAAAATATAAAACAGCTAAACCAACATAAAACACCAACAAACAAATCATAAATACTATATTAAAGTGGATTTTACCTG